CAGGGACCATTTGTAGGCCATGTCCATCCCATGTATACAGTCTTGGAATCTGCGGCAGGAAAAGAGGGAGAGGGGAAACGGGGCATGCGATACCCAGCCGAGCCGATGGTGAGGCCAGCACGACACACACACACACACACACACACACAAACACATAAAGACACTCCTATTTTCTCTTGTTTCTGCACTTGATGGTACACGGTTTTTCGAAGAGCGGATGGGGTTTTGGGAGGGAAAAAAGACAATAGAGCCGGGCGCCTGATGTGTATATATAAGACCAGGCAAGCGGACTGATTTGACTGAAATACCACGACCTACATCTGTTGCATTGGACGCCAACTAGAACATGACTGCGTCCACAACGGTGACCGTGTTTGAAATGTGATCCCTTAGCCGCCACTAGTTCGCCCGCACCGTTGACCACGCAATTTTTCACACCTCTGGCGCCGAGACCTCCATCTCGACAAGGGTGCCGATCACCTCCTCGCAGCTCGCCCAGGCAAAGATGGCCTCCCCCGGCGCCATGGCTACGGGGAACACGAGATCGCGATCCGCCTCCATGAGGCACTTGGTGCTGACTCGGTGGAAAAAGAGGAGCTCGCCGCGGCTGCCTGGTTCGACGTCACCAGCACCGCTAGCGCCAGGGGCGCCGCCAGTGCCCTGCGCCACCCCCCGGCCCGCGAAGACGCGGCGGCCCTCGGGGCGCGGGCCCCTCTCCACGGACACGCACACCTAGTGCACTTTTTCTCGCCAGAGGGGCATGTCGTCGTTGAGGCAGCGGAGCCTCGCGCGCACGATGGCCAGGCGCAGGCCCGGCGCGAGCACGCGGACGACCTTCTCGGGCAGGGCGTCAATGGCGGGCATGTCGGACTTGGCAGCCCAGCGTTCGAAGCGGGCCTTCAGCAGGAGACGGGGGAAGGCCTTGAGCTGGAGGACCGTGTTCATGCCAAAGGGCGGGTTCCGCTTCAGGATGCGATCAATGTTGTAGAACTCGGTATCGGCGAGGGCGCGGACGGTCGAGATGCCGGCGGCCTCGAGCATCTCGATCTTCTTGGGGCCAATAGCGGCGACCTGCTGCAGCTCGTGCGTGTCGCCCTCCCACGCGGCGGCGGCGATGGAGCGCGAGAGCTCGAGAGCGCGGCGGACGGTGACGCCGTCGTGGCGGAGTGCGGCGAGGTCGGCGGCGCAGCGGAGGATGCGGCGGACGAGGGAGGTGATGTGCTTCGACTCTTCGCCGAGAGCGGTTCGATCGCGGGGTGTGATCCGTGGGATGTACAGCCAGGATCGTCCGGTGGGATGGTTCTGGGCAATGAGGAAGGCTTTGTGCCAAGCCAGGGTCGGCGTGGACAGAGCGATCGGCCAGATTGTGGTTGCCGCGGCGTTGAGGGTAGAGAAGAGAGCTTTTTCGCCCGGGAGTAGAGGGTGCGAGTTGATCTCGGTGGCTAGACATGCTTTCTGAAGGATGATGTTGGGTGAAGCAGCACATGGGATAGAGACAAGAGTATGTATGGTAGGGGCCGACAGGCGATGGCGTAGAAGAATATCGTGCTGGTCCGAGGTCAACGTGTTGGCGGTTGGTTTCGCCAGGTCGCGGGCTGTCGTTCCAGTAGAAGATGACGGGTCTTCCGCTGTGGGCGTGTCTTCTACTTTGAGACGCTTGCTTGGGGGAGCTCCAGGCTTCTGTCTAGTGGGAGGGAACGAGGGGTGAGGCTTGGAGGTGCCCTCCTGGACGATTCCTGGGGCAGATGGTTCTGATCCTGATAGACGGCCGAACGGGAAGGCCTGCTGATGCTTCATAGCAGGGACCTGTGCCTGCAAAGATGCTTCTGCCGAATTGGTCTGCGAGCCGGTTCTGTGGGCACGAGGCCGCGGAGGCACGTATCGCTTGGGAGGCATGATGCCGAGGGAGTCATGACAGGTATATGATCAACATTGACGGAAACATCTAGCGGCCTCTGGCTGTCGGAGAGGCGGGCTTGGTCTGATGAAGAAAATCACATACGTCCAAGATGGCAATCGCGAGCACGGTGGGATATCGAAATCTTTGGTGTGTCCTGCCGGGGGTCAGGAAGCAACCGGGCCATCCTGCCCTCTTGACAACAGACGCCTTCCGTTGACAACAAGCGGCAATTGCCTGTCCCGTCTGCTCTTGCTGCCGATGCATCCGATTCATCGCAGCAACAGAATTCGACGGCTTGCACTGCATGCCGCCTCGGTTCGGCCACAGCAGCACTAGACGGACACGCCAAGAGACGGCTTCCATTCATCATCATCAAAAGATCATTCGCATTTTGAGCTGACGCTGGACATGGCGGGCATGATCTATAAGAGCAATGGGACGCTTTTCCCCTGGTGCATGCAAAACTCACCACCCAATCCGTCATTACCAGCACGCTGCATCGACCGTAGATCCCCCTCTCACATGATGACTTCGTTGGCGACGTCCTGCGCCAGTCAGTAATCACACAGCATGAGGCTACTCGGATCGTCGGGGCGACGTGGGGAAGACGCACCCTCTTCAACTCCTTGTACGGCAGGCACACGCAGTTCTGCACGCGCACCTCGTCGCCGACGCCGCAGTCCTTGCCGAGAATGGTGATGCTCTGCACCTTGACGCCGTTCTTGACGATGCTCGTCGTGTGGCTGTTGACGGCCATGGGGGTGCCCTCGACGCGCGCCCAGGCGCCGACGCGGCTGCCCCAGCCGATGATCGAGTACAGCACGCACGCGTCGTGCTTGACCTCGCAGTCCTCGAGCACGACGGCCTCCTTGATGCGCACGCCGGGGCCGATGACGGCGCGCGGGCCGATGGACACGTTGGGGCCGAGCTTGGCCGTCGGGTCGACGGTCGCCGTCGGGTGGATGAAGACGGGCGGCAGAATGTTGGCCGACGGCTTGGCCAGCTCGGGGGACCCCTGCTGCTGGGCCTTTTGCAGGTACAGCGCGTTGGCCGGCACGGCGGAGCCGGCCGTCTTGATCTGGCGCCAAAAGTCCTTGGTCTCGTAGACGAAAAAGTGCTTCGTGTCGGCCATGTCGGAGAGGATGTCCTGCTCGAGACGGATGACCTCGTTCTTGCGCTCCTCGTCGTCGTCCTCGTCGTTGTGGAACACGTAGCTGTTCTCGAGGTTCTCCGACGACGGGTACGACACGAGGCGCGAGGGGCGGTCGGCGCGGCGCTTGATGGCCGTCTTGATCGAGGGGAAGATGGCGTCCGTGGCGAAGAGGTAGACGCCGCAGTTGATGAGGTTGCTGACGCGCGTCTCGGGCTTCTCGACGTAGTGAAGCACGCGGCGCGTGTGCGCGTCGCTGACGATGCAGCCGAAATTGGTCGCCGCGTCGTCCGAGACGCGGGTGCCGAGAATCACAGCCTCGGCGTCCTTGTCGTCGAAGAGGGCCAGCATCTCGACGAGGGGGAAGGAACAGCAGACGTCGGCGTTGAGGACGAACAGCCGGTCGGGGCGGCCCTTGAGGATGGCGTCGCGGAAGTGGTAGAGGCCGCCGGCGGTGCCCAGGGCCTCGTATTCGCGCAGGTACTTGATGCTCAGGCCGGGGAACTCCTTGGACGAGTCCTTGATGAAGTCGCGGAAGACCGTCTCGTCGTAGTAGCCGATGATCAGAACCTCGGAGATCTGTCCATCGGGAATGCGACCAATGGCCGCGAGGCAGTGCCAGATGATGGGATGGCCGGCGACGTCGAAGAGGGGCTTGGGAACGTCGAGGCTCAGAGGGCGGAATCGAGTGCCGCGCGAGGGACCGCCGACCTGGCGACGCGAGAAGAGTTAGCCAGCGAGCTCCCTGAAGGGCGCCGAGAGGGAAGGAGGAGACAGGTGGTCGGTTTGTACCAAGATGACCGCCTTGGTCGTGGCCGCATCCTGCGTCTTGCCGCGGGTGGGGATCTGCAGAGACATGTCGTCAATGGTGATGGTAGGAACCGCGGTCTGCTGTAGTGGTCGACGGCGGCAGAAGAGTGGGAGGGGTAAAGAGGGAGGAGGCTCGGGTGACGGGTTTCCAGGGTCTGGCCGTCAGGTATGTTGATGATGCAGGCCAGGTGGGAAGATGGTAGGGCGGTGACCACTGACTGACCAGGGGGGCGTGAGCAGCTTCTCTGGTCGAGGCCTCCACTTTTGTGTGTTGGTGCCCCTCGGTAAGCGGGGAATTCGTGTCTTCTGCAGGCGGGAGTGGACTCTTCTGCTTGCCCCTGTGGGAGATGCACAAGATGCACTAACGGCGGGAGATGTGGCGGCTGCAGGGGCAGGCGGGGCATCCTGATGTGAGCCTCCATACCGTGGTGGGCAGACGTGACGGATGTACATTTCGGGGAGAGCACTCTCAAGAGAGGTACACAACATAGCCTGCTTGGTCCAGTCATGACTGAATGTACTTCTGTTGTTGTTTTCTCCTTTAAAAAACAAAAAGTCAAGTTCATCTTCTACGCTCTACAATGTCTGATGGAAATGTCAACCTCTAGCAATTGCGAGATGACAGTATGCAGCAGCACCCCATAACCGTCCACACCCATTGCCCGTTTCAAAAACCAATCGCCAGGCCGCCTCTCAGCTTCAACCCCCAAGCTCCCCGCCCACAATCTCCAACGCTTCCGTGCCGAGATGCGAGACGGCCTCGTCACCTGCCGCTCCCGCGACGCGCACGACAGCCACGAGCAGGGGATACAACCGCAGGAGGTGCTTTCTCGTCTCACACTCCACGTTCGGCGAGTCCGGAATGGCCTCGGGCTGCGACTGCAGGGCTACGAGCGCCTCGAGCAGGCGAAGGAGCTCCCGTCGTTGTGAGAGGGGCTGCGGCATACGGCCTCGAAGGGGCTGGTCGGCAATGAAGGCCCGCAGCGGCAGGGCGGCCCTCAGTATGAGGAACGGTGCTGTGGCACGAGCGGTCCGGACATGGAGGCTGCTGATCGGTTCGGGTGCCGGAGGAGGCAGGGTGAGGGCGGGAGGCGGCCAGCGAGGGGTCGGTGGTTGGATGGTGATGGACGGCCCGGGCGTATCCTCGTCGTGCGTGGCGACGAGCGAAAAGAGCTCCTCGAGACAGACGTAGCCCATCTTTGATCGTGCCTTGGCCGCTGGGTCGGACGTGCGGCCCTTTCGCGGCTTATACATCGCGGAGAGGCCAGCACCATCGGCACCGAGCCCCGAATCGCCCGGCGGTGGGGTGTGAATCATCGACGTTCGGAACAGGCTCTCTGCATAGGCTTTGCGCGTCTTGTCGGGAATGACCTCTGCGCCGAGCGAGGGAATAATCAGCTCCCGCAGTTTACGGAACGACTCGATGTCAAAGGCCTCGTCGTCCAGAATATCCGTCTTGTCGGGCGCCGCGTCGCTGTCGGCGCTGATGATGCCGTCAGCAGCATCAACTATCAGCCGCCAAATGTCAGGGATGGTTTCTCTCGGCACGTCGAGCGTGTGTAGATGGGGCAGTGTTCCTTCCAAGACGGCCAAAGTAGAATCAGTTGCAAGCCTCCAGGGTTGGGTAGATTTCGTGACGATGGGGAATCGGTATTTGAGAATGATTGCTTTAGACAGCGCCGACAGTGCTGCCGAAAAGGCCCCACTGGCATACACGTCGGCATCGCCAGCATGGATCAGTACCAATCTTTGCAAGACAGCCATGCTGCCTTTGGACATGGCAACATAGGTGCGCTTGGATGCCCCTTCCCTCGCGGGATCGCGATTGAATGGCAGTCGCACGAACTCGGCGACTTGTGAGATCATGGCCGATGGTACGCCTTCGAGGTCCGTCCGGATTGTCTTGATGGCTTCCAGGACCTGATTCTGGAGAGGCGTGGTGTACTCAACATCATTGACGTAGGCGCCCACCGTGGCCCGTTGCAACGCCTCTCGGAACAAGGTCAACATTTGGCGAACCCGCTCGACCGTCAAGTCTGCGCTGACCAATCGGTAAACATCGTGGAACGCGCCTACGTAGGCGGTCAGGCAGTTTTGGTTGTCGTTCTTTGTGCCGTCGTCTCCCGCCGCCACAGGGATGCCTCGCGACCATAATTGCCACGCCGTGTCAACAGTACCTTTGCTGAAGCTCGACTTGTGGTGGGGCTGTCCCTGGGCGAGGATCTGACCGAGTGCCTTGAAGGTTGCGGTGCTGACGTCTAAGATCTTGAAGTCCAAGAGTGTGGTAAAATGAGCAAGGAGCTCTTGCCACAAGTTGTTGAACGATGGATGCTTCGAGAGAACATTTAGGTACGAGGCTAAGAGCTCGGAAATGCCATTGAGCACGAGGACTGATGTTCCGTGCCATTCCTTCCGACCCTCTTCATCCCCCTCGCTAGCCTTTGGTGAACAAAGTTCGTCTTCGATTGATGACAGAAGCCTAAAAATGACAAACTTGACGCAGGTGAACCATGCATCTGGGTTCAAATTGTCGCCGTAGGCGTCAAAGATGCGGAGCAGGGTCTGGATGGCGCCTTCACAAGTCAGCACGCTTGAAGCCAGTAAACAAGGGAGGGCACTCACTGTTCCGAAGCTCTAAACGTTCGTCTGCTGTGACAGTAGTGAGGCGAAGTAACAAAAGCATCCAGAGGGCAGCATTTGACGACTTGTGCTTGGGGTTGCCTGCGAGTGCGGCCAGGTCCGATACTTCTGCGCCCTCCATGAGGCTCGTCGTAATTGACATTGGCTTGTTCTTTCCTGAGAGGTGGTCCGACAAAACCCAGAAGAATGTCACGGTCTGCGCTTGTCAGGTAAGTCAACCAATATCACCTCAGGAGAGGGGACATACCGTCAAAGCAATGTTGAGATCGTCAGATTGCGAAGAGAACTTGTAAAGGGTATCAACGAGAATGAGAAAACAGTCGTTCGGGAGCGATGTAAGAAAGTCGGAACAAATGAGCTGCAACGAGCTGAATGATGAACGAACTAGTTTCGGGGATCTTGTTAGGAGTGTGGCCGCCGGTAAATCCGAAGGCTTCCAGTCGTCTGGTGCAATCGTTCGGTTCACAAAGATAGAGCCGATGATCTCAAAGGCGATTTCCCACCCGCTAACAAGTGCCTCGCCGCAGTTTTCCAGAAGGCTCTTCAACCCCTCGAGAATGACTTTGTGTATCTCAACATCTGTTGCGTGGTTTGCCACCGAAGTATCGCGATCTTCCTTCTCAAGTGGCCGTAGGGCATTTCGCATCGACTCGAGGACTTGTAGCTGGACAGGACCACGCTCTTCAGGCTCGAGCGTCAAAGCCACGTTGGCTGACTCCAGCGCAAGGTTCACGAGAATCTCCGCAGCTCTCAGGCGGACAGGCGCATTAGCAGTCGTGGAATTCAAGGTCTCGGCAAGTTGAGAAACGAGGGAGCCCCAGCCTGACACATCAGGCGGATATGACAAGAGTCGCTCGATATTGATGGTGGCAATATCTCCAAGTTTGGCCAAAGCGAACTGATCTTGCTGATTGGGCGCCGAAGCACCAGACGACGGGCCCGGTGCTTTTCGATGTTGGCTCGTTGGCTTCAAAGTAGCGCCGCCGCCTGTGGGTGACTGGGGCCGACTGCCTCCCTCTGTTTTGTCTTCGGCATTCGTATTAAGGAGAGCGCAAATCGCATCGACGACCTGTATGAATGCGTCGTTGGGGAAGTCAACCGTGCTTTCAATTAGACGTGATGCTGCCGTCTCAACTGCCTTTGTTTCTGTGCCAAAGTTGGCTACTAGCGAGTTGGAATCTCCTTCGACTTGATTGTCTTGACCCCGAATCGCGGTTGGTGTCCTCGACGGTGTCTTGTGAGTTGAGAAGAGCACAAAGTCGGCCTGTTGAAGTGTTGCTAGTATGATGCGCCATGATGGCCCCAACGTAGGGCCCAAAGCAATGCCAAGATTGAGCAGCGCCCGGAGGCAAAGCAAATTCCGGGTTGTGAGAGTGGCACCGCTGGCGTCAACTGAGGGCTGACGACCTCGTTCCGCTGCCGAGGAGCCTTGTCCGACTAGACTGTCCACACTGAGCAATCCCTTGGCGTTGCTGAGAATACTGTTGTGGGATGTACTTGATGCATCGAAACTGGGGGTACGCGCGTTGCTGCCGGCGTTGAGGCAAGCAGTGAACACATTGGGAGGCACCGCGGCCTTTCCGAGCGTCGTAAGAAAGGCATCTCGTGGTGTTGACAATTGAAGCAGGCCAGCAACATGGGCAAACTTCTGGAACGCCCTGACCAGACTGTGGTAGTATTCGGAATCTAGCGCCGCGTAGAGGAACGTCGAGCAGGTTGCGAGAATGGCGGGCCAGCATTCGTCTACAATCGCAGCACAAATCTTGACTTCGGCGTATAATGGATGGTCTTCCAATGTGAGGGGGTTTCGAGGCACTGGGTTTCTCTTGAAAGACCCAGCTCGCTCAAGATGACCTCGAGGGCCGAGTGCATGAGGAGAGTCTTCTGCATTTGGTGCTGGGGATTCTCGCCCGATGTCTTGCCTCATGCTTCTCTTTCGGCTTCTCCCCTCTGCCGAAACCGTCAGGGGCAGGATGAACTTGGCCAGCCCTTCCGAGAAGGACGAGATGCAGGACAAAGTAAGACTGTAAATATACGACTCCGGGATGGATGGCGGCTCCGTCTTGTCCAGCTGATCAATGCAAGGGACTCGCATGTTGCTCCATTGAGAGCTGATTCCGGTGTTTGAGCCTTCAGATCCGCCCGAGCCGCTCATGATACCGGTGACGCCACCTGTTTCCAGAACGACCTGGTCGGCAGTCGCGCCGGAATTGGCATACGGATTCGCCACGGGCAAAGTTGACTGATGGCTCAGTCCGATGACCGCAGGTTTTTCGGTACTTATCCGGACAAAGGTTGCCGTCAGCGTCTGGAGGATGTTTTTCTCGCCTTCTCTGGCATCATAAAGCATGAAGATCCGGCGGAGGAGAGCATGTTCAGAGAAAATGCCGCGGAAGACCTCCATACAG